GGGGGGGGTCTTCGACCTGAAAAATCAGGGGTTAGGATTTGCACCCGGTCGAAAGAAACCTTGCTATCGCAAGAGTAACTCCAGCTAGCTTCGCTAGCTTTCGTGATAAGTACATTCTCACTGTGGAGTCCAAATGTTCCATGCAAATCCTTCAAACAAGATCAGTTTAACCGTTTTAACCTACCTTCATGTGTTCTGCCCGCCTCCCGCCCCAACCCGTCCTCGCAGAGTCCGGCTGCTTGCCACGTTTACGTGTGCTGACCACGGGCGGTGCCTGGCATCTGTTCAAATTGGGCGCGACCTCGCAGAGAATGAAGGAATATGAGATTCCAATGTAGCCAATGTACATGATCTTTGCTGAAGCCCTCCCATTTGGATTGGGTACACTCTTCATGTGGGGGGTTTTGCTAGTTAAGAGTACCACCCTCCCTACGGAGCACCAGTCAGTTTTTGGTGAAATGTCCATCTGATGCTGCAAGTGTGGGCGAGATCAGTTGTAGCCTCACACCAGTGGTACAACATGATTCAGGAAGACCCATTGACAATCATTGACACCAGCCACAACTCTATAGTCGCTAGTGAAGGCAGAACCCCTGGCTACGTCACAGAGCCACTCATCGAAGCTTCTCGCAGTATCTTCGCTAAGTGACGGCAAGTTTGGGCGCGGCCATCTCCTCGCCATGCTCTTTTGCCTTCTTGGTAGCCTCCTGCAAATGAAGTGGCCAACATTCCGGAGCGAGAGAACATCCAGAATCTCATCACACATGGCCACATGGCACCAAAACTCTGGTCGGTCGCTGGGCGGCTTTCACTTTGTGGAACTTGATCTAGCCGGAACTATCGATCCATGAAAGTGAGGCCAAAGCATCCAACATCAAGTCAAACACATGCGCTCGCCTCGGAAGCCCTTGGGCTGGCGGCTTTCCGCTTGGTGGCCTCGGCGGCCGATGTTGCACGGTCAGGAGGGGCAATCCGGATGTTCTTGTGATCCTGCTGGGGAGGATGTGCAGCGATTAGATGCGATTAGACTAGCAGCTAGCATGAAGCTGTTTAGGCACACACCAGCAACAAAGTACCAGTACAACTAATTTAATAGACAACTAATACTACAAATAACTTATATAATTATATAACTTATAAACCAAGCAAAATGCCACGTGCTACTGTTGCTAGTGAGGACTCATCAAAGACTGATGAGGCTCGATACCAAACTCCATGGTCCAGTCATGCACGTCCACATGTTCAGCTTCTTCCCAACATCTTCCTACAGCCTACAGTTCATGAGGTCGCAGAAAGTTGTTCATCCTACTCTTCATGTTCCAAA